CTGGAAAGTGTGCAAAAAGAAGTTTCCCCAATACTTGGACATGCTTTGCAGAGAAAAAGAAGACTTTTTTAATGCATGGCACATGTCAAAGATATTGCGAGACATCATTTTGGGCGCTTTCTCAATACAAAAGTTGGCTTTTTAAGAGTTTTCACGTAGCGTTTATGATGAAAGCAGCTGCGAGTTTCAGTATTGTCTCAATGGATATGAAAATGCTCAATTGAGGACTGATCTTTGAAATAAAAGATTTGTACTTGATTTAAAAACACAAAAATTTGTTTGTCGTTGTTTGTACTTCTATTCAAGGTATTCCGCGTGGATAACAAATGTAAAATTATTTATTGGAAATTTATCATTCATAATCCGAGCTGGAAATTACAATAAAAAGTGTACATGAAGTTATAAAATGAAAAAGTTTTTTTTAAAATTCGTTTATCATTCAACATCGAAATATAACCAATCCTGATGAATACACATATTATGATCAGTAATTTCTCAATGCAATTTCAAGAAGTTATTCATTTAGAAGAAAACGTAGAGCATTTATCTCATCGATTAATTAAGTAAATTAATACGTTGTATCGATACGACATAAATTTATTCTCAAACATAAATACGAACAAAAGCTATAATTTTCTGTTGACATTTTGGACATAATTGTAATGATGTACTACATGAAACACAGACTGTGAAATGACCACATGGTAAGCAAGCTATTCGTTTTTCTTCGGTCAAGCAGGTAATACAAGGATTGTATGGTGTTGAATGTTCTAATTGATCTTCATTGTTGTTAGTACCAGTTATTTGATTGAATTTTTTTGTTTCATTTTGATTTTCAGTGATTCTTGATTTTAATATTGAATTATGAGAAGATTGTAATGGTGTTGCCATTTCAACATTCATATTATTAGATTCATTCATACACCTTGCTCGAATAGCATTACATGAAATCAATGTTGCAGCTTCTTCTTCTTGCCTAACTATTCCTGTTAAATCGAAAAACAAAAAGAAATTATCCAAGAAAGTTATTTAATGAATTAAAAACAGACCTGTTTGCTCTCTAATTTGCTTCATTCTTACACTTGGTATAACAATGTTTTCTTTTATACCATTAATATGTTCCATTTGTTTTTGAAGAATTAAACAAGCAATATATAAATCACATTCAGATACAAAATTAGTGCCTAACAAAAATATTGAAGATATAAAAAAGAAAATATTTTATTTAATAACTCACCTTTTATTCGTAATTGATCTTCCCAACATCGTTTAATAATTGATAATTTAAAATTT